TTCTGGATAGGACAGTTCACATGAAAAAGGAAAATGCATCCATATTACAGACATTTGAAATGAGCAGCAGTTCATTCCTACAGTTGCAGAAGGAAAAATCCTGCCCTGTTGCCATTCAGGAGCTGCACAACTCAAGAAAACTTTCCTCATACCAACATCTTATTAACAGTATGCAAACTGTACCTTCAAGAGAAAGTGCTCTAGATCTTCTATTTCAAATCTAAACCACCTGACCATCTGTCAGAAAAGAAAGCAACATGCAATTTGGCATAGTCTTAGAGACTTGGAATGCTTCCTTCCTGTAGGTTATAAAGAACACGAGGCATTGGTAGCCCAGTCCATCGTGCCTGGGTGCAATTTTCCACATAATCACATTACAAAATCTATGGTTTTGCCATAAAAATGAGCACAGTGACATGGATCAAGCAGTACTTTTTCAGTATAGGGTGGAGAGATCTAGAGGAAAAAATCTCAAGGGTCCTCAAGCTTGTATGCCATCACCATAGGCTAATCAGAGCTGTCCTTAAGTATATTTCGTGGTTCTGCACTGTATTTTGGGTGTGTCTGAGCCTGTCTCTTGGCACTGCTTTATAAACTGTCTCTTCTTTCTGTCAAGTAGCATGTTGAGTCTTGAGTACATAGAGCAATTTGGATCTGTGCTACTAATTCTAAATATCATAATTGTTACAGACTTGAATAGAAGACAAATCTAGGTTTCTTTATCCCAGACATTTTATTTCAGATTAGAATAAAATAGAGTAGAATAAAATAAAATAGTATGTATAACAAAAATGGAGGTAGCATATATATACATATGTATTTTTTTACAAGCTCCTCTTTGCGGGCATTTAAAATTTATGACAAGATTTCTGTTTGTATAAAATGAGACATTACTATTTACTGAAAATTACAACTTATATTTTATGGAGAATTTCACAGCCAAAAAATTCACTATTTTTTCCTCATTAATGATTTATATTTTACTTTCCCCCACTAACCAGACATGGCTAAGAACGTTCCTACTAAATGCCATTTCACAAGTTCCTTTGAAAAGAAGTTTAAAGTTACAATTTGTAAAGCAATCAGGAAACTATACAGTCACTTTCCACCAAAACTCAGCTGAAAATGGGTTTCTTGATCCCTTCAGCTCTTTTGAAGAACTGAATCTGAAATAAATGAGGATGCTATATGAACGCTTACAATGAGCCCTAGCATGAAAGGTTTTTAAAAAATCAGTGACTTCTATTGAATTCCTACGATGGGGCAGCTGCGTCGCACAAGGCCTTTCTATATTGATACATTTCTGTTCTTTGAGTAACGATGTAAGAACTTTTTTTGGCCACTGTACTTTACAGACATCATTATAGATGACTAACACTCCTTTTTTCTTTATATAGCCTTACCCTAAAAGGTAGGTAATAGTCCTTCCCCTTTATTCTAGCACGATAAACACATTCTGACTCAACTGTACACAATTAGGTGTGAAAAATAACATAGTTTTACTTGATCAGAATTCCTGTCTTAAGTAAAAAACGTTGCCTTTTGGTTTTTTTATTTCTCTTACTTCATTATTCCATTGTTTTATTTGCTCACAATTACATTATCTAATTAGGAATGCAGCATTTCAGGAAGAGATTTAAAAACATACAAACATCATTCACGTAAGCTTGAACACCAAAACCAGAGCTGAAGAGTTTTGACAAAAACTCAGTACTTCTTACCTTCTCTGTTGAATAGTCTTTCTCGGTTTTTTTTTTTAACATGTTCATTTTCATTATCTGTCACTGAATTTATAACCCACTAGAAAACAAAATGTATTTCGTTTCTTTTCCAGTGAGACAGATGAATTAGATTTTTTTTTCCCACAACAGAAACACAGATTTACGTGATTATGAAAGCTAGAGGTGGCTATTCACATACAGAAGATAAGCTATTTTCATAGAAGAAGTATTCCTGAACTGCTCTTCCAAAATAGACATCTGATCCATTAACTATGATGAACTGACGTAAATCAATCTGGCTAACTTCTGTTGCTCTATTTACACGCACCTCCAGCTGGCACACAAATTTTCTTCAACCACCATACAACTCTTTACATGAAAATTACAAGGAGCAAACATTGCAGCTTTGCAAGCATCCTCACAGAGAAGCTTACTGATAATCCCATATGGGGGGAAAAAAGAGAAATCTCTCCCCTTGCAGAGAAAGGATTTGAAGATTATATTACAAAATAATAAAAAGAAAGTATTTTTGATCACCAGATAACTACCATTTCCTGCTCCTGCATGCTCAGGATGATCAAGAGTCAGTAATTTGGACTGACACAAGAAAAACAATCATCAATTTTTTTTTCACAGGTTTTTGAACAGATACAAATAGCTCAGGATATAAATCAGCGCAAGGTAGTATATGTCCTCTGTATTCTTGAGTACAACTTCTTCTTTCAAACTCTCATACAAAATCCTAAGTCTATATTCCCTGTATCCTCTTGAATGGAGAAAAGACATTAGACAAAAGCATTTAGCCTCCTTCTCAGGTCCTTATCACTAAAACCTATCACAAACTGGGAACAGTACTACTGATCTGCTATGAAAGTTACCAGGTCTGTCCGTGCAAGAAAAGCAGGTAGAACTAGGCACACTGTCTCTAACAACTCTTCCCTCCTCCAGAGAACTTGGGAGAACTCCAACTGGGTTGATGCTCAAGAAATACCCACAGGATGTAACTGCTAAGTGAAAGGGTTCTTCAGTATTTCTATGAGCATTTAAATAAGCCGTTGTTCTCTTTCAAGGTGGTTTCAATATCATAGTAGTTGCTACTCTGTTTACATCCATGGTATCCTCTTGAAGTAAGTGTCTTGCAGTACAGCAAGATTTATTTTTTGTGAAGGAAGGAAAGTAAGTTCTCATACTCCCTTTTCAAGAGTCAGATTGTTTTATGTCACTTAAAAGTAATACAGAAGCACTGGTTCTATTGACAGGAAAAAGTTATCCTGTGGAAAAACAAACCATGTCACCAATGCAAGGCAGAATTACAAATCTACATTTCTGCAACGTCCTAACAAGCTTCCTTGCAGCAACTTCCAGTAATATTCTAGAACTGACCTTGCACATAAACAGAGTTTGCAAGAGGAAAACAAAAAATCAAAAAGAATAGATTTTGGTGTTGGAACACAGTGTATAGTCTTCTGACTGCTAATTTACAGGACCGCATATTATTATTTTGATAAGAAAAGCATATAAATAGTTCTCCGTCAGAGCAGTATCCTCACATAAGAGATCATTAAAAGTCAAAGTGAACTGACCTTAATTGTCCCATATAGCATTGGAAAACTGTTGAGTTTTTTAAAAAAAATAAAATATACATATGTATTTGTCTCAACACATACACACACACACACATATACGTACATACAGGTAGGTAGGTAACTTCTCTTTCTAGGTTTCTCTGACAGGTTCCTCTGCATTATGTCTCAAGAGCACAATCATTCCATCTTTATTGCACCTCTCCAATAGATATTTACATAAACAAACTGCTTTCTAGTTCATAAACTCTACTTCTGCAGAGACTTAGCCAACATATTCTGCCAGAAGATTATATAATGAGCCCATATTTGTATAGGTGACACTCCAAGATTTCAAATATTTATTAAGCACAGTTTTGCTTATTATGTTTCTGTGTCATGCAACAAAATAAAATATAACATTTCCACAATCCTTGGGACAACTATCATTTTCTCCACCTGTAATCTGGATGGTAAGTCCCCAGTTCTCGATGATGGATGTAAAAGTAAGGCTGCTTAAACATTTAAAGTTCCAGAATAGGATATCTAATCCTACAGAAAACAAACTAGCATCAGTACTATTCATGAACTGCAGGAAAACTTGAATTGATTTCTACTAAAAATTTTCATTAAAACACCTGATTTCATCTCATTTGAACTTTCTGCAGAAATACATTACTTTTGATTCATTCTCATAATTCATTTAGAAAAATAAAACCCCAGCCATCCTGAAAGCAAGTAATTACTCTTTTTTCATTGACATTCTGGAAACTTTTCTTAATGAATTTCTGTTTTCAGATACTCAGGATTCTTTCCCCCTTTTCACTGATTTTCATCTTCTTTCTTCCGTCTTCATCATAAACTCACTGAAAATCATTTTACCATTACAGACAACCATCCTACCTTTTCAAAAACTCTTTAAAAATCAGTCATAAACTATTTTTAAATTTCTCTAAACCAAATGTATTCCTCTTTAACAGAACGTTAAGAATGAAAGGAACTGTAATGAACAGAAGTTAGCCTGAACTATCAAGCCCGGATTTCAACATCCTAAACATTCACCTGTGTTAACAGCTGATTCTTTGGCTACAGTCATTTTTTAAAAAGTCAGTTTGTAAAATTTTTATTTTAACTAGTTCTTATACAGTTCAGGGATATCTGAATCAGAGAATTCAGACATCAAATATACTAATCTCTCTTGTGTTATGTGCACTAGTAAGATATACCAGCTTTTCCTGTTCCTTGAGTAACAGGATGCTATGGAACATCACGTTGCAGTGTGAATTTACAGGATACTCTGGGTTTACCCTGGATATTTTCGTAAGGAGATAGATTAAAGTGACAAAGAATTTATAAATTCATACTCTGCTGCGCATTAATCATCCCATTTAAGCAAGCTCTAGCAGTGGTTTCACAGGGACTAACAACCCAAGTGTAGCAAACCAATTTACACTTATTCCATAGGAATGTCCTTTGTAAGAAACTCATCTGGCACAGTGAGCTGTAAATTCAAATTTTACCTTATTGTGTACTATATCCTCCACACAAACAAACCTTCTGTTTAATTAAAAGTTCCACTTTCAAATTCTCCTAAGAAATGTATGACCCTGCAATCCTGCTTTATAGTATGAAAAATTTTCATACTTAAAATTATTTTAGTTTATTTAAAAACTACTTTTCAAAATATATGAAAAAAGACTTAAAGAAGGACTATTACCATACTGTCTCCAATCCACATTAGGAGGCAAATTCAGCCACAAAATGAAGTTATTGAGTTCATTTAAGTAGGATGGCAGTGAATGGAAACCTTTTTGGCTGTACCACACCTGGAAGAGAGAATGGAAATTGTGAATCAAAAATTACTTGAATCTGAACGCGGATCTGAAAGTTCCCATACCTTGAAGAATTGCAGACACCTATTTATAGAAGAAATACTTGAAGAAACCTTGAAGACACCTTGACACTAGAAGAAACCTTGAAGACACCTATTTATAGAAGAATGTGAACTAGGCAGAACAGAATCAGTTAATTTGTACAGGTCTTTCAACGGAGTGCAGCAGTTTATTTTCTACTGTTGGAGCGGTACACCTACGATAATTTTTAAATTGACATTCTCTGATTTAATGGAACACTGTGTCCCTTCCTTTACACACATTTGGTTGAACAAATAGAGGAAAAACAATGCAAAAGTAACATTTGCCAATTTAACTGAAAATACAAAAAGATGAGTAAAACTAGTATCACAAGTGGAGAACATTATTGAAATTCCAAAAAGACTTATCTAAATAATACCTTCAAGTGACACACAGCATAAAATATCTAGGAATAGAATATCCTAGAGAGTGGGGAAAGAAAGAATCAAGGAGGCACTGTTTACCAGGTGAGCATGAAACTATTCCATAAAGGAAAAAGCCTTGTCTCCACCTTCAACAAGCAATTACCAGTGGTTTGTTAAGCATGGAGGAAATCAATATGAACAAACTTCAAGGCAGACAAGGCAAGCCAGTCTCTCTGAGGAGCACAGGGGAGCAGTTCTGCTGTAACATATACTTTATCCTCAAATCATGCAGAATCACCCCTACTTGATAAATACACTCAAAATTCACACTTCCATGTGCTAGAATCATTGCTGAAAGCCTGATATGTATCAAAACCAAAATACTGAGGTTTGAGTTTTGTTTTGCCTTTGGAAATCAATTCCATTTCTATGCCTCATTACTGTTAATCACAGTGCCTTTGAACCCACATTATCCATACCGAAAACTAGGTCAAATTATTATGTATGTTTGTTTTCAGTTTTAGTGACATGTTTAAAATCATCTTTGATTACTATCCATTCCTCACTCCACAGCAACCTTTCATCTCCCCTTTTTGTTTATACAGTTGAAAAACTCTTATCCTTTCCCTATTTGATATCAGCTATTTCCTAATCTGCATTTTGTACATCTCAGGTTGATGCTGAGCAATTCTCACTTTGTGTCTGGATTCTGAATCATACTGTAAAGTGCACAGTTTTTAATATAGGTCTTTCTTGCCTTAACACCCTTCTTTTAGGATTTCAGTTTTCTTAGATCTTTTCTAAAATTACCATCTATGCATTTACATCTTCAAAACTTCCCTAAAGATTCTTTTCTTATCACTCTGATGCTGTTCTCATCTAGTGCTCTTCCATATATATGTGCCTTTTCTTGATACTGTTATAAACGTCCAGATATTTTTTATTTATTTATTTACTTGCAGATAATTATGTTTTTTCTTTCTTATAGTACCCAGCTACAATCCTTACTTGGACACTAGTTCCAGACTTTGACTGTTTTTCCTGCCATGTTCTTCTCTGTGTTTCCCAGTGCGGGTTGTCTAATCTTCAGTTTTATTTCTCTCTCTTCGTGATTATTTTCTTCTGATTTATTTTCCTGACTACCTGCTTGTTTGGATCTCCACACTGTACTCAGTTGTGAGGCAAGGTTTACACCACTTTAATTGTCCATTCAATTTCCTCCCATCTATCCTATATCATGCTTTCAAACACCACTCTGAGCTCCACTGTCATTTCTCCTAGACCTCTCACCCTTGAATCTTCTTTGCCATAAACTCTATTAGTCATTATTTAAAAAATAAGCAGCTTTGGTCTACCACTGCTCTTGCTTGTATTAGCTTTCACATTTTCTACTCTTCTTTATGTGGTCTTCACAACTGCTTGAAATCTCAACAGCATCTTTTGTCCCCACATTTAAAGAAAAGAATAAAGAACAAATCCCAAACTCCCGCTTTGCAAACTCATGTGCAACTCCTTTGTTCTCCTCCAGTTCAGTTCCCACAAATTACTACACAAACTAGATCTCCCATTCTTTAATCAACAAGAGAGTTCTTTAAAGAAATGAAGCAAAATAGAACCTAAGTGTCCTGAGGAAAATTGCAAATCTTTGCATTGCTGGATCTCCTGCGCAAATAGCAACCAGAGCAAAGCAACATAAGTGATCAAGGGTAGCCAGTCTTTTTCACACCCCCACACACCCATTTCTTATTCCATCTTTTTAAAAAAGATTTGTGCTGAATAGAAAGTTATACATACATAATGGAACTCCACTGCATTGTGTTCATTGTATTGAAAAAAAAAGGCAATTGAGAAAACAATAAAGCAAAATTCTGATGACACATCCTCATTTAATTAAAGCAGGGGAAAGGTCTCAAGTATTCACAGAACACCTTAGAAATATAATAATATGACCAATATTCAAATGAAAATACAAAAAACACAATAGAGCATTGTGTTTAACAATACATTTCAATATCCCACACATTAATTCGAATTCTTCCTTCAAGCTACATTATGTAACTGAATCAAACCACCAGGAAATAACCAAATTGAAGCGGGATATTTAATTGTTTAGAATCTGGCAAAAGATGCATTTGAGGGTGTTCACTTCATCAGAAGATATATTTAAGCTCTTTTTTCTAAAGTCTTGTGCCTTATTCTAAATTGATTGCAAAGGTAAAATATAAAAAAGCAAAAATATTAGTTCTAGCTGAAATCTCTCATATTTCTTGTGTGCCACACAGGTGGCACATGGAGGATAGAAAAGAGATGAGCAAAGGAAAAATATATAGATTAAGATAATCAGTTTTCATTTTCATTATTTTATCTTCATGGCTGATAAAATTCCTTCCCGAAGAAAAACATGGCCCCTCACCACATTAGATATAAGTTCTGTAAAGACATGTTTTACACTATTTCATACCATTTTTACCTGCCGTTAATATTCCAGACTAATGTTAGACTGACTTTTTCACTAACCTATGGCCTGTCAAGAAAGGGAGGGGCACAGAAATCCATAAGCGTTGCTGGACCAGATTCATGATGGGGAAGCAGAGAGAAGGGATATAAGACTGGAGAGATGTAACTTCCTCTGGACACTTATACTATTACTGTACAGTAAAAGCCTCAAATCCCAGCCTTTGAGGATGGAAAAATGTACACTTCAGAATGCCACGTAAACAGTACAAATTGCTTTTCAGGACTATTTAAAATTACCACATGTTCTTCCTATATTTAATTATGTTATAAACAACAGCAACTATGAAATCATTGTGGAACACTTTTTGCCCATATTATCAAAGGAAACCAAAGAATATACAGTCATGGAAACGCAAAATATTTGAAGAGTTGTGCTTTTGCCACGTAGCAGTGATCATCAATGAATGTCAATAATCAATGGTTTTAATCAGCCACATTTGTCTTGTGATAGATATATTCTCTCTTGTGCCTGCACACATAATCATACTCTGAGTGCATGCATATACCATGTATGCAGTATATACAGCATGGTATAATTAGGTAAAGTAAAATAAGCATTGGATAGATAGTTTTAATTTGAACTGGAAAAATTGTTGGCTTTTTAAGTGGAGGAGAATAACGTATAAAGATTCAGAAATTTTCTAAAATGAAGTTAATCGTACAGTAAGTCTCTTCAAATGCAAATTTCTCATTTTCTTTCGTACAAGGCTATGTAAATGGTCCATTCCCTGTCTCATGAACAAACCTGAAAGGTCAAAGTAAAAGTCTGGTCATTAATTACTGAAAGGTTAATGCAATAATTTGACATTGCATCAGCTGAAAGCCACTTCCAGGAGGTATTTTAGATAAAACAGTGCCCTTTATAAATCTACTCCCCTATTTTCTTTGGGTCTGAAATATGAAGCTCACTCACTAACAGTATAACTATAATTTATCCCTGTGCTGATGGCAGGTGGAGCTCTATGCCAAAGACACTTAAAAAAAAGAACCCTGATAAAAACCACAGTGCAGGCATGTCACAACAAGAGTCTAAAATGATTAAAGATACATAGGACAAAAACAGCAGTCAGAAACACACGTCTTATTGCAATCCTCTAGGACTTCAGGTTCCTAATGAAGGATTGATGGAACTGGAGTTCAAAGCTGTAAGAAATCTGGGCATAGAAGGGAGATTACAAATGACCAAAATGAAAATATATATAAGATAGGGTGTGTATATAAAGTAGAGAGATTTTTAACAAAACTACACGGAAGAGGCATTGCAAATAGGCAGTGATTTTGCAAAACTAAATGTGAAATGATATTGGATTGGAGAATATCTGTATGTTGTTTTAACACATAGTTGTTTTAACACTTTGTCCAAAAATCGATTTTGGGATAGAACTTATTTACACCGTTCCTTCTCTTCTTCTTTTATAAGAGCAACTAAAATCTAGTTTCTATACCCCTATAAAACAATTTAAAGGCAGAAGCATCTTTCTTTCATATTCTAATCTGGAATCTGGAAAGCCCACAGCTTCCTCTTAACAAATCTGTTTTGCCTCGAATGCAAAAATAGAGACCACTCACTGATATTTTTTAATATTCCTCCAAGACTGCTGTTCCTCTACTCATTACTGGTCTACATTTGAATGGATCTCAAAAGATCTTCAAAGCATTCCCAATGAAAATAAAATCCCTTTGCACTGATAATTGCCTGCTAGCCTCTAGGTCCCATCCCAAGTTTTCACAGTATGGAGATACTGTATCCTTCCAGTGCATACCAAAAGGCCTCAAGGAAAAGCTCTTTACTTCAATTGTGCTTAGAATAATCCTTCTTTTCCTGACTTCAGAGCTAGCTCCAGACAGAAAACACTGGTTCTGTGTAGCATTGCCAGACAGTATGATCTACTGTCAAGAAGAGATTCAGATTTCACAACCTGACTAATTTCAGCAAGGCACACTTCTGTTTCTCTGGGTTAAAAACGGAAAGTTACTCATATTTGAAAAGGAGATTATAAACACAGGGTAGCATATTTGTTATGGAGATTGGCCAAAAGGGGGGAAGAGAAATGTAGCAAAGAAAAGTATTACTTGCAGAGATGAAAAAAGCATCAATAATAACTCATTTTTGAGATGTTCAATAAACTTTTGTCAATTCTGACATTGACTTTTTCTAGAAAAAAAACAAGCAAACAAAAAATAAAGGAATAAGGAGCACCTGGGCTGACTACCTAAAAAAAGTTTTAAAGGTGAGCTTTTTCAGAGTTAGACTCTGAAATAAGTTCACAGGAAAAAAACAACAAAAGCTGTATTATTTGTCTCATTTAAAACTGCTTCTCAGAACACAGGAGAACACTTCAAGAATTATGAACAGAGAAGTGGACTATAATAGACAGAGGGTTTTTCTCCCAATTTCTAAATGCAAGGATTTTATGTAATGATTTATTATTTGCTAAGTGCTGTAAAGTCTGGAGCCTGAATAAGTAAGCAGTACATACATACAAATGCGCGCACATACATGCAACTCTTACCTTAGCCAGAGGCTTAGATTTGGTGTTATTCAATTTTTTATCTTGAAGTTCAAATGCTTTTCCCCCTTCAAAAGACCAACCACCGTATCTGGTATATAGAAAATAAAGTAATAACAAGTCACCTGCCTTAAGCTTAGCAGTCTTTTCTTGCAATGATAAAGTGGTAATATCTACATCAATGCTTTATTTTTCAACTGAAAGTAAAACTTCACCCCTCACAAACCCCCTTCTCTGTTAAAAAGGAGGAGTTCAATATAGTCTCGAATCAGGTGAACATTACTGCTCTTTTCTGGCAAAGGTATTCCCTCAGATAAGAAATTTTACTTTCTGAAAGCTGAAATCCCTGAACAACAGGAGGGTTTGTGAGCAAGTGAGGTATTACTGACTTTCAGAAACATCTTAAACAGCTTGATTTCTTACTACTCCACTCATATTCTAGCTCAAATCTTTCATCCTAAGACGTTTACCTCTCTTTTTATCAAATCAGATAACCATTAAAAAAAAGTGTAACACTTTCTTCTTGATAAAACCATACTTGGTCTAGTATTTGCACTTTTGTCAAAGGCAGTGGTTGAGCTGTAAAGGCACATAAGTAAATCTGAAAATACAGCAGATTATAACCTCTGTGGTGGGTATCACAGAATATGAAGTCTTGCCAGGGGAATACCAGCCCTTTTGGTTCAAAGAAAAGATTAACTGGAGCACATCCACCTCTATTTGATTGAGTCTCTGAGGAGCGGAAACTATATTGTTCATATGATTTGCATGTGATATATATATATATATCTTCTTTCTCTGAGATGCTGAAATAAGTCACTGCGTGGCAAGAAGAGCCAGGGTATGCGTAGAGGCAATTATCATGCAACTGCTGGAGGAAGCTCTGAGAAGTGACCATGAAGGGGATTCCATATTACCTTAGCCTGACTCTATGCCTTGATAACAACCAACAGATAAAGGCAACTACTCCTTATATTCTTGGTGATGTAGGTCTACGCTTTGGATCAGGAAGGACAATGTTTTTAATACACAAAGGATAAACAAAGGTTAGCTATTTTAAGGTTACCTTGCTTTGTTGGAAGGCCTCGCTAAATATTCTTCCACAAGGAACCCTGAAAGATTGTACAAAATATGTCCTTTCTTATTCTTCACATAAGGAGCAGAGGTACTGAAACTTCGGCACATCTGAAAAACAGTATACATAAAATAAGTAAAGCACTCTTAAAAATCAGTGGCACTGCATTTAGCCATATTTTTGAATTTTTAACTAGATTTTACAGCATTGCTTTTTGACTGGATTCGCCTTTCTCAACTTTGATAACTTTTCAATAAATTAGGTGTGGTTTTGTTTATAAGGCATATCAAATAATTGTGTCACCTACGTATTAGAACCACAATTGCATTCTCTTGCAACCCTGTCAGTCAGTTTTGTTTTGAAAACATCAAAACTTGTGTATAAATTTAGAAAGATTTACAACAATGAAAAAGGCAAGACTGCTATTCACTTCTTGTGCCTGCAAAGAAACACAAAAAAGGCATCAGATGAATATGAGATGAAAACAAAATTCTAATTAATGAAATATGCTTCTAAAAACTTCATTGATGGACAGCAGAGAAGAATAAAGGAAGACGTTTTCTAATGATTCAGTGGGATATTCTCACAACTAAAGAAAAGGAGACAGATATTATGATCAGATATCTTGAATGCCTTATAAAGTACATTATGTATATCAACTGAAAAATTTTAATGTTTATTTGACATCCTAACCCTACACAAATTAAAATTCACTCTCAGAGATTCTGGTTTTCCGTAGCTCATAGATACAGGTTCTGCCTCCACTGTCAAGTGACTTCTCTCTTTTGAGCTTTCATGGTTAGTGGACCTCTCCCTGTGTGAGTTTCCATTCCAACTTTATTTAAGCTTCTCATATTTTAAGTATACATCTTACGAGTATTAGAGGCAAATTTGTTCCTTGCCCAGCAAAGTAAAAAATCAGTTTCCTCCTTCCACTTTTCCCAAAATTCTATTACTATATTTCAGATGCAACTCTTACTCTAAATATTTATATATTTATGAGGCAGAGAACTTATTTGATAGAATGGTCCCATCCAGGGAAATATATTTGTCACTTCAGACACAGTTTCACATTCTTGTTCATTACTCAACATCAGAGCAAGTCAGAAGGAAAACTCACTAGTCAAGAAGGTCTTTTTCAAAATCCTTTCTTTCTTTGAAGGCTGTTTTATTTTCAAATACACAATCCAAATCAAAACCAAACTCTAGCAATTAAATCTCATTCACGTGTAGATTCCTCCCTGGTGGCTTCTATCAGCTAGGATCACCTGCCCTTCCCTTTTGAAAGTAAATAGTCTTCCAGATATTATGGAAGTGTTATGTTTTAACCCTGTCTTACACGAGGCTTTTTGTAAGTAAAGGCTATCAAATATTTGAAGCAAAGTTACATCTACTAAGAATAGTTTAGCCACCTCTGATTCCTGTTATTTCAGATCAATCTATAGCCATTTCTAGTGCATATATACACACACATATATATACATCAAAATTGTGCAAGCTCTTTTTTTTTCTTTCCCGGAAGACTTCAGAACACGTAGCCCAAACATTAGATGAAACAGAAGGAAATCTCCAATCATAACAAAGCCAGTGCTCTGAGTTTATTTCTTCATTCCTTTCTCTAGCCCTTCAGAAAGTAAAGGTATTAGACATAATATACACACACATAATTTTTACATACATAAGTAAATATAAAATGACATACCTCTTGTTCAGCCACACATCTGCACGAATCCTGGGATGACGTAGATTCCATATGCCAACATGAATTATTTTTTCTAGTGGGAATAAACATAACAATAGGAACAACCATTAAATGAAATAAATACATTTCTTAACAGAAGAAATCCACAGAGTAATGAGCAGATCTGGCATCTTAAATACCTTTTTAGCATTTTATCACAGCGACTGCTGTATCTAAAGTTATATCAATTTTACTCATTTGTATCAAAGTAGATTCACTAAAAATATTTATATAAGTAAAGCAGTAAATGAGCTGCATGCCTTGTGTTTGCAGCAATAAGACAGGTAAAGCATGGTCACAACTCTGCGTTCCTAAATTTGGAAATCTAGAATGCGTCCTAACAAATATTGTAATCATTGCCTAACCTTCATTGATAAGGACACCAGACTTGATCAAAATCCTCCTGAAATTAATTGGAAAGATGTCACTGACTTTTAAGGGGTTTGGATCAGACTTTTAACAATAAAACCTACTTATGTACTTTACCTAGATGCCAGCTCCTTCATCAGAACATATTTGTCATTAACCTCATGCTACAAGAAAAGCTTAAGATAGTCCACATTACACAGAAAAAAAATATTGAATTTACAATATTTACAATTTACAGTTAAGGAACTAGTTACGTTATTCAGTTACCCTTGTTCAGAATGCATGCATGTGTGGTCCCAATCAGAGAAATATCTCAATAGAATCTGAGAAAGGTTTCCTAGGTTATCATCTTCAGTGCTGTTCAAAGTGGGCCGGGGGGGGGCAGGGAGAAAAAAAAAAAAAGAAGAAACACAAACATATTAATACATCGAATTCTATTAACTTTCAGGCTCAAGATCCTACATGTTTACCAAGAAATAAGGAC